TTGGAAGGCTGAGGCGGAAGGATCGCCGGAGCCCAGCAGGTCGAGGCTGTGGTGGCTGGGAGCGGCCACTGCACTCCAGTCTGGGCGACAGAGTGAGACTCCAACTCAAAAAAAAAAAAAATTCTAATTTTGAAGCACTCCTGAACTTCTAGGACAAACTCTAGTTGGTTATAATGTGTTGCCTCTTTTATATATTGCTAAATTTTATTTGTTGATAATGATTAGATTTTTGTACCTGTGATTCTTAATAATATAAGACTATAATTTCTCTTTATCACACTACTTTTGTCTTATTTTGATATTATGGTTATACATGCCTCATAAAAATGAGTTGTGAAGCTTTCTTCTATTCCTTTTTCCAGTTTAAGTGGGAGAAGATTTCAAATAACATTTAATAAACTTGCTTCTAAATCAATATGTGTCTGGTAGCTTTAATATCAATGAGTGTGGAGAGTAGATTTTAGATCATAGGTTTAGTTTCTTAACATTTATTTATGCTTTCTATATCTTCTTTATTAATTTATATTTTGCTATGAATAGTCAATTTAAATATAATTTTTGAACATATTGATACAAACCTATACATGATATTCTAGCTTGTTTAGAAAAACCTCTGCTCTTTTGGTAAGTAATTATTCCCCTTTTTAAACATATTATTTGTCTACCTGCCTTTCTGTCTTTCTTTTCCCTCTGTTTCTCTATTTGATCAGTTTTGCCAATTTTTTTCTGTTTTATGAGTGTTTTATTCTGTTTAAATTACAAAATTGATCCTATTAAGCTTTTCATGTAAAATTGTTTTATTATTGACTTTTGTATTTTGGTGATAACCTTCCTTCTCCATTGAGTTCATTGACTGGTGGGGGTGAGATGGGTCTTCCATGGAGGGGACTCTCAAACCCTGACTTTAAGTATGAACTCATAATGCTAACCTTCTCCAATGTCATAGATAAACTACAATAAAATACAAACTTTTCATTTTTCTAATTTGACAAAAATAACAGTTTTGGATATGCAGCTCCCCCCCCCCATTTTATAAGATAAATTCACCTATGATTTCAGAACTTGTAATATCATGATAATATTTCTAACTCTTCCATATCAAATATGAAATGTATCTTATTCTACTATATTCCATCTCAATTAAAATGAGTTAAGGCAGATTCCAAATGAGTTATATAAGGGAATTTTATTATTTAAAGAAAGTGTCATAGCTTTATGATGAAGATTTGGGCAACATTTTCCTAAAGAAGAAATGTGATGCTTATGAATAATGTCTGAAAAAATAATCTTAAGTTTGATTAGTTCAATAGCTTAGGGCCACTGCAGAGGCTGCTAATAGGCAAATCCCAGTATCAGTAAAAACATCAAGAGCAGCTGCTCCTACCAGAATGCCATGTTATAATAATTTGTGGTGTATTTTCAAATTCAAATGAAGGTACCACTCTGGAAATTGTGATTAGGATGTGTCCCTAGCTGAGAGATACTCAAAGCTATGAACTAATTCTAAAAGTACAATCCTGAAAAAGAGAAAATAGATATTGAAATTTTACCCTCCAGGGTCTATATATGTCAAAACATTAAGTGTGGGGATGTTTGAGTTATAAAAAAAATCCTGGGAGACTACACTCAGAAATCCATAACACCTTCCAGATGAAATACGACTCAATATGCATTTCTTCTCAGTAGAAGTCAAGGGGAAATAAAATCTACTTCCTTCCCTTCAGACTTAAACTGAAATTTTGACTCTTCCTGGGTCTTGAGCCTGCTGACTTTTGAACTGGAACTATACCATTGTCTTTCCCGGGTCTTTAGCTTGCTGGGTGCAGATCTTGGGACTCCTCAGTCTTCATAATCATGTGAGCCAATTCCTTGCAGTAAATCTCTCTCCCCCTCCCTCCTCCTCTTCCCTATTGGTTTTCTGGAGAACCCTGACTCATACAACAATTATATATGTATTATTGAGTTATTTTTCTACAGCTACTGATAAATCATGTTGTTTTTCTCCTTGAATGTAGTATGATAAATTCTGAAATGTTGTTCAATGAATGAAAATGAGTTGTACACTTTAAATTATTTTCTTATTCTTTTTCTTTTTTTTGAGTTGGAGTGTCACTCTGTCGCCCAGGTTGGAGTGCCGTGGCACACTGACAGCCACCGCAGCCTCAACCTGCTGGGCTCAGACGGTACTGTAGTTCCGGTCTTCCAAGTTGCTGGAATTATAGGCATGAACCATCACACCTTGCTAAGTTTTCTTGATTTATTGTAGAGACGAAGTCTTGCCATGTTGCCCAGGCTGGTCTTAAACCCCTGGACTCAGGCAATCCTCTTGTCTCGGCCTCCCAAAGTGCTGGGATTACAGGCTTGAGCCACCATGCCCAGCCCTACATTAAATTCTTTATAGGAGATTTTTCTTCTTTCATTGGCATGCACTTCTCTTTTCAGAAATTTGATGTTACCCTATCTCCGTAATAGGACTAACAGTACTAAGAAGTTTAACATGTCAAGGGTGTAATGTGTTTTAATTAAGAGATAAGACATGAGTTAAATCTGACCTAATTTGGGATAAGACACACACACACAAACAGACAACACTTTTTGTCCTAGTGTCTTAAATTATCTATATTTGATAATAGCATTTATCTTCAAAGTGTTTTCAACATGGGTTACTCTTCCCTGTAAAATATAATTGCCTGGTTAATGAGTAAAACTATTATAAAAGCAATAGAGAACAATGCCAATGAATTCTCATATGCAGAAATTTTTATTAGAAAGCAGGCATGCAGCAAAACATAAGACATTCACTCTAGGAGAAGATACAGGACCCCTGGGTATGAGGGTGCAGAGCTAGGGCCAGTACGGGGCCTGCAAATAATGTCCACCTTGCTGGGAGGATAATCGATAGCTCCAATGTAATCAGAGAAATGAGGAATTTAGAAGATTGGGATAATATCTGAGCTAGCGGATTACAGACTAATTCATATTTGGTGCAAACATTTGAAAGAAAAGGAAGGGTGTAGGGAGTTTAAAATGAACCAGGATGTGTTTACGGAACCACTGAGATAGTGATGGACTCACTGGAAGCATGAGGTCCATCCTGTTTAATGATGTCAGTCAGACTCCATGTGTCCTAATGGTCATCAAAAAGAAGGGTTCACATCTGGGAGGACAGAGGTGAAGGAAGAGGGGTGCCTAGGCCAGCGGGCTCAGCAGCAAGAGGAGGCGCAGCACATGGGGCGGGGGCAGGTGGAGATGACACAGG